TTATGTACACACACACACACACACACACACACACACCGCCCACAAACATTAATTTATTAATTAAATTCATTAGAAAATATACTTTTTTGAATTTTGTTTTTTTTTAATTTTTCAGAATTTTGAAACCACAAAACAATAGTGTAACCTCACAGCCTGACTTTTTTTAATGTGGTTTGTATATAGGCATGTCTAAAGACATAATTTCCTAAGATTTGGGGGTATAATTGAAGGTGACTAATCAAGCGTTAATTGTATCCTTTCTCTGTATTCCCTCATCTTTGGTTCTTTTTCTGTTCCCCCATGCCCTTGCCCTGTTTCTAAGCATTCCCTATATGTAAACACTTAATTTGACCACCACGAATTATGGAACAATGCCTATCTTAGCTGAACCGGCTTATAAACAGAAAGAGTAAGTGAAAGATTTTCTGTGTTTTTCTTCATCCATCCACCTAGCAGCCATTTTGCTGTCACAACCAGGTCACATTCCAGTGCCCTGTTCACAATGTAGCTTTGTGAAACTCAAAACCTAATTTATCTCTAGCTTTTAATTCCCAAGACAAACTCTAAAACTAATCTAAGCTAAACACCAGGGGAACAAAACTGATTTTGGTTAAACATAACCATTTTTAATACATTGTTCACTGTGTTTATTTCTTTATTGCCTAAAATATTTAATATAGAGATATGTGTTCTCTGGTTGAAAGGTTAGGCATATCTGTGCAGGTGGAAGCTTTACTTGAGATTTTCTAGGCATTTGTTCCCAATGGTGACACATGGATTGTTCTCCATGGACAGTTTTGTTTATGTATTTGTATAATTGTTATCTTGTGGGTTTTGATTTAGATGTTTATTTTACTCAATGATACATTTTAATCTTTTTTTTTAAATCTCAAGTTCAGCTAGTCTGTCTATATAGCAACACAGATGGAGAATGAGACTATTCACCTTCAAGAAGCGGTAACTATTTCCTCTTTTGAGAACGAACACTGAAACCTACAACAACTGCTTGCCTGAAAGATATACTGGTGCAAAAGTGGCACAAATGTTATGGGAATAACCAATCAACTTTTATTGTATTTAAATCCAAGAAGGAACACAGACACGACACTGCTAAAGCGGTCAAGAATTTGAGACAATATAGGTCATAGACACTAGGGGAAAAGCTAGTACTATTATTCTTCAAAAGGATCATGATGATAATAAAGTGACACCTAATGACATACTGCTATAATCATATATCAGAGCATAGTAAATACTTCTTCTCATAGCAAATGGTAAATCACAAGGAAATTCACAAGTGAACAATGTGCACAAAGTTGGAGACTTTGGAATACTAAGCTGTAATTGTGATGTTGTTATCAATCAGGGTTCTGGCAACTATGCAGAAAAGGTGGAAGAAAGCCTGTAAGAGCTACCAAGGAAGGATGGCTCTAAGGTATTGGCAGAGACTGCTCGTTCTTTTCCCCACTGCCCAGACCCAAAGTAACCACAAAGAAACTGTATCAATTACAACACTGCTTGGCCAATGACTAGGATATTTCTAGCTAGCTCTTACATCCTAAATCAACCCATTTCTATTAATCTGTGTATTGCCACATGGTTGTGACCTACCAGTAAGTCAAACAGGCAAACAGGTAAGCAACACTAATACACATAAAATAAAATAAATATAAACAAAAAATTAAAAAGCAATTAAAACTTGCAGTGCGCTTCTGACAGGCCTTCTATAGAACATTCAATAGAACATTCAATCCAACCAGTGGGGGGGTAAGGTTCCACCCAACATCCGGTGTCTGTCTCCTGTGGCAGCTACATGGCTCCTCATTGACTCCACCTCTTCTCTCCTCTTTTTCTGCTTGGAACTCCCACATTGCCCTACTCTGTGCTGCAATAGGCCCAAAACAGCTTCTCTATTAACCCATGGTATTCACAGCATACACAGGGGAATCCCACATCACTAAGGAAACAGTATCATTCATACACAACAGGATGGATACACATATGAATTCACAGACTGCATGAGATCTGTTCTATTTCATACCAGATAAAATGCCATCATAGAGAAAGAGAAGTGGATATGAAGTCCCAATCCCAAGGTCTGAGAGTAAAAGTATGCACCACCACCCCTGGGTCAAGTGATGATCTTAAACTGAAGATATCATGTAGTCTATATCTGGAACTTTCTTCTGCCTCTGTTTGAGCAAACAACAAAAGAGCTGCTGATTTCACCCACATATTTCTACAGTGCTTGCAGCATCTTACATCTGCATAGTCTTCAAAAGGATTTCACCTAAATCATTCCATTCGATTCTCATAAAAAGCCTTGTAAAATAGTCAAGAAATATACTACTTCCAGTCTGCAAATGATTTAAGACTGTGTGATAAGGGGATATATTGACTTCAATTCTTTTTTATAGAACCACTTTCCTCTGAAATACTCCCACTGCTAATTAATAAATATGCTTTTGCTGCCTCCATTATAGATAATTTAACCAGAGTGTTCATTAAAATCAAAAGGAATATATTAGAAAATACACTGAAATGGAAAAGATGAATGACAGAATTTAAAAAGAATAGAATGGTATAAACTTTCAAGTATTAGAGATTTAGAATTCTGGGGTGATGATCCTAATATACACTTGATTTCTAATCTGTCATTTACTTATATTGTCATATCATTTATATTTATTTATAAATGAAGGAAATTCTATATACTTACTTGTATATGAATCTTGAGACTGCTTACTTTATTACATTTAATTATAGAGGTATACACAAAAGTATGAATTTAGATAAAAAAAAAATTCTGAACCACCTATACAAGATGTCCAAAATACTGTAAATAACTGTGAGAAAATAAACTATACTTCTCCTTTTGAAATACATTATTTTTCTCATCTTTAATAAGGCAGAAATTCATAATATCAATTAAATGAGCAAAATATTAATAGTTAGGCTCTCTGTTGAGTGTTCTGAGTTCAAAATTGCATATCTGAATTATTTTGAAGATGGTAAAGGAATGTAGAGAACATCAAATGTGTCATTAAATTCTCATTGGACAGGCCTATGCAGAAAAAATAAAGAAGACATAAAAATAGCCTAATCAGAGCATACCTCAATTAAAAACAAATGCCAGTGTTGATTTAAAAAAATACAGATTCTCCACAGCTTATTTTAAGAAGATAAAAAATGTAAAAAAAAAAAAGGCTAGGTTTGTATTTTTATCTATTATTAAATACAGATACAGTCTGTTAAAATATGTAAGGGAATCCATATATTTTTCAAAATCCAAAAAAGTGTGTCTAATGGGGGAAAAAACTTTAAAAACAGTTGGTTGCATGTGGTATGTCAGAGCAAGAGAAAGAAACATAATGGCCCTGGAAACCCTAACAGTGATAAAGAAAATAAATTTGCTCTGTCCTGTTCAAGACTGCACGCTGCGGTTGGGTGCGTGCTCATCTATCGCTCCTTCCCTTTCGAATTTGATGGCCCATGGCCACTGAGCACTGGAAATGTGGATAGTGTTGGAAAAGTGGAAAAGTTTAGTTACGTGAAATCTTAATTACTTGGAAATTTTAATGTTCTATGTGAGCAGCAGCCGACATATTGAGTTGAAAAGAATGATTATTCAATGGACTCTAATTGGGAAAAAAATCAATTCTGGTTTTTTTTTTTTTTTTTTTTTTTTTTTTTTTTTTTTTTTTTTTTTTTTTTTTTTTTTGAGGCAGGGTTTCTCTGTGGCTTTGGAGCCTGTCCTGGAACTAGCTCTGTAGACCAGGCTGGTCTCGAACTCACAGAGATCCGCCAGCCTCTGCCTCCCGAGTGCTGGGATTAAAGGCGTGCGCCACCGTCACCCGGCTTTTTCATTTTTTTTTATTCTGGCTGGAGATTCTTTTTACCTTTTTAATTTTTTTGTTTCTCAAGAAAGTTATTCCAAGTGGCAGAATCTTAAAAACGTTGCTGTCCTTTATCCTTCTTAGTGTTTCAAAATTGAGTCCTCTCCTTTCTCCAAATTAGAAATAGTTTAACACATATTGTCCTGATGCAAATTGAGATTTAATTAGATTCTTCTTCCGAAGGTAGTTAGAATAGATGGATAGAGAGTCTTACTGAAATAGATCAGCCAAGGGCAATAAGCAAAGAGTGATAATAACACAGTCTGGGGAGCAGGTCCCCCTGTTGCTTCTTCCCTGCCCCTCCAGCAGGTGTCAGCCCCCTACCTGTCTCTGCTTCTTTTCTTCATCTGTGATAAGCCACATATACCGATGATGAAGCAAGTCCCTCATGGTTTCTGTCATTTCACTACATGGGTGGCCCTACATAAGTTATTTAGCCTTTGTGGCTTCAATTTCTCTAATTTGAAAACGAAAAGGCTGGGTTAGAACAAAGCGTAGACATTAATAGACATGTATAGTAGCGCAGGGTGAAGTAGGCTATCTGGAAATGTATGCCCTATCTCCAGACATTCAAATCTAAAACAAGAGCATACGCATGTATACAAAAATGTCATCAGCAAGACGGCAGACTAGAAGACTCCAGACATTTTCTCCACCCACAGATATACCAAATAAATAGCTACACATGGATCAATTCCCTCTGAGGAAGTCCAGAAATAACTTGGCAAATTCTTATACACTAAGGCAACAGAAGAAAGATATTCTCATCAAACAGGTAAAAAATAAATAAAAAGCTATTTGAATACGCATGTGCTATACATTTTCACCACTCCTCTTCCCTCCTCCCCTTTTCCCTTCCACCCTCCCTCCTGCCCTCCGGGCTCCCAATTTACTCATCAAAATGAGAAGAAAATAAAAAATTACTGTTAAATAAAAAAGAAATACACAAAAGTAATATAAAATTTTAAAAAGAGAGAAATACAAAAATTAAGTTAAAAAAAACGAGATACATTTAAGTTCAATACACCATATAATTTGGAGGAAACTTCTAACTCACAGCTTTTCCCTGAGGAACACAGGGGGGGATGACACATACCTATTATCCCAAATGTCACAGCTTCTAGTGGAGGGTATCTCTGAAGTTGTTTATTACTGTGAGGAAATGGCACATGGCATTTGATAGTCCCTAGAACACAGAGGGAAACAAAAGGCCATTTTAGCCTGGTACATGAATGCTCCCCGAGCTTTTGCCAAGCCTCAGTACGAGTGCACAGGTCGTAAGAACCAGGTCGAGCTGGGTTAAATGGAACATCTAATGCTATGTCGTCGCCAGCTGCTTCTCAGTCATCAGGATCTGAACGAACTGCATCTGGAACCTAATGGAGCCGGCATTCCTAGTCCACTGAAACTTGAACCCTGGTTTACCCCTACTAACTTGTTCCAGTAGTAAATCCACACTTCCAGTTTTCCCATGGAACAACATGGACAATATAGATTTTAGAGTTTTGAGCTAGACAAATGGCTCTTATAATGCCCATCTCCAGAGCTCTCATGAAGTGTAGCACTTGCTGTTCCCCTGGAGCTGTATGAAACACGAGGTAGTCTCAAATAGGCACACAAGTACTTCCCATAGTTCTCGCTCCTGGCTTAGCACAGTACTGGCAGAAAATAAAACAAAGTGTCTAGCTTCTACCTAGTTATGTTGCACATACAATGTCCCTACTTTTTAAACCTTTGCTCAAGTGTTTGTTCTGCTTCTCTTGAACATGTGCTAACATCCGCTGGAAGCTACAGTGGGCTGGTGAACTCTTGCATTGTACTCTCTAACTGCTTTAATGTAGCAATAGAACCCAGACTCTATTCTCCACGGAAAAAGAGAAGTAGACCCAGTGCCTTGGCTTCCTGTTTGCTTCCCAGGAGAGTTACTGCTGACCCCTGTGTCTCAGTAAGCCTGAAGATCGTATATTCTCTAGGCATCTGCAGCAAAGGAGACAAGACCACCAATGGGAAAGGCAAGCAGTCTAAGAGGGCATGAGGTCATTTGCTATAGCTTCTCTCCCTACATCAGCAGCAAACAAGAAGGTGGCGAGCCAGCTTTCAGAGTCTCGGACTAGAAAGAAGTGGCCACGACAGCATACAGCCAACTTTTGAATTTCCTAACCCCAGTTGTGATTTCTAATCCATTAATCCTGGAGCACTGACAGAATCTAACTTTCTGAACTTATGAAAACTAACAAGAATAAAAAGCACCATTCTCATTCTATTGGTTCCCTCAAGCACACATCCCTCTCCCTAAACCAACCGCAGAGCAAACCTGCCGGAAAACAGGTAGGCCAGTCTCGGACATCCACCACACTCTTGGTTCTCTCAGGCAGACACCCCTGTCCAATACAGGATGTGTCTACTCAAAGACCCAGATAGACTCTGCATGAGCCCACAGACATTCTCCACAGACTGTCTTGTTGCTCACCCATTCAACACTCTGCCCAAATCCCCTTCCTTCGTCATTGCCATATATCAGCCCAGCATAAGCAGAGACCAGAGACTCCCTGTTGCATACGATACCTTTCTCATTATTTCAAATAAAAAATAACATTTCAGGCTAGTTGGAAATAAAGTATCATACTCAGAATATTAGAAAAAGAACCATTGCCAACCAACATTCTACAATTATCAAATCCATGCTTTGAAACTAAAAGAACATATTGACTTTCTATAAAGCAAAGGCTTAAACATTTTATTATAATGGACTCCCCTTTAAAAAAAAGTTATAAGAGCTTTCTTTTTCAAATGGGTGTAGAAGTATATTAAGCATAAACATTACATATAAGAAAGTATGAACCTCACTGCTAAGGTAAATATATAGACAACAATGGAATACAACAGCACTGTAAAGGAAGTAAAATAATTCCTTTGAATTTTAGCAAAAAAAAGTCAGAAGATAAAGATATTAAAAATAAAGAAAAATGACTTTAGTACTATAAATGAATATGAATAATATTTACTGTGGAACAACCTGCAGTGTGAGATGAAATGTAGAGTCTGTTGATATCAGCTCAGAGTACTTTAATTCTAAGATATTGTATCTAGCTCCATGATATGCACCGAGAAAATATCAATAGAAATTTTACCCACAGAAAATAAGAAAACAGTAAAAATTTCATTCTATAACACACAAAGAAAGAAAAGAATGAGTTACCAGAAATTTAACAAATCGTGATATGTCTTTATCGGTGAAAATTAAAATATATTAAAAGCTCCTATCATGGGATACTAAGAGGTTGTTGGTGGCAAAACAAAGTCCTAATTCCCAGATACCAGTAAGATTCCACTTAGATTCAAAGACACAGATAGGTTGAACCTAAAGGAATGAAAAAGTATGTAGAAGCAGATGCCAAAGAAAAGAGACCACAGTGGCCATACATGAAAATGATAATCTAAAAGGAAGACACCTTAACATACATATGCATATACATCTACAACCTATATGCAAATATCAAATATCATATACATAACACACATAAATATGTATGCACACATCCACATGTACATACATTGAAACTAAATACACTCAAACTATTAGGTCAAACAGTGAATGAAGAGATATGTAAATTTTCTAAGAAAGCTAACTTATATTCTCTGTGATCACAATATACTTATAGAAGAATTCAATATGAAAATTTATACCCATTCACCTTATAACAACAGTAGTGCTAACATTCACAGCTATAGATATGATCTTACATTGAAATTTAAATGATCAAGAAAACTGGATTAAATAAATATGACTATAATAAAATAAGTATCAAAAAATTTTAGTTACATTAATATTTATTTGATTATTTTTGTGTGTTTGTATAACTATATATGAGAAAGCATGCCACATCACACATGTAAAGGATATAAGAAAATTTGTAGAAGTCAGTTCTCTCTTCTACCATGTGATCACAGATATGGGGCTGTGGTAGTTTGAACATAATCAGCCCGCATAATCTCATAGTACCGTTAGGAAGTGTGGCTTTGTTGGTATGGTTTTGTTGGAGGAAATGAGTCACTGTGAGTGTGGGATTTGAGGTTTCCTATGCTCAGGATACCACCCAAGTGTCTCAGTTGGCTTTCTGTTGCCTGCAGACATAGGATTCTCAGCTAACTCTCCCCACCGTGATGATAATAGACTGAACCTCTGAAACTGTAACTGAGCCCCCTTAATTAAATGTTTTCTTTTTAAGAGTTGCCATGGCCATCATGTCTTTGCACAAAAGTAGAAACTCTAATTAATACAAAAACTCAAGTCCTCAAACGTAGTGGTAAATGCCTTTACCTCCTGAGCCATCTTGTAAATAAAGCCACAACATAACAAAAGATATGGCTTACAGTACAAAAAGTTTGAAGAGGAAGGTACAATGACAAATGTACTCAGTAAACAAGGACAAATCCCAGTTTAAAAATCTAAATTTACACATCAGGCTACTAGGAGGAAAAACAAAAGCACTTTAATACAGTAGATGAAGGCTGATCTTTGCAAAAGCATACAAAAATGGTGAACCCTTGGCTAGATTAAAGAGAAAAGGGGGAGCAAGAGAAACTCAAATAAATTAGAAGAAAAGAAGTTACAACAGATTCTTCAAGAACAAAACTAGTTTCAGGAGCTATCAAATCTAAGTATTTGCCAACAAATTGAATGACCTTGAAGATATGAGTCAGTTGCTGAGGAAATGGCTTAGCAGGACAGAGTCAAGAAGAAAGCCTAAACCCGAGCAGTAAACAACACAGGAGAAACAGCCATTGGAAACCCCGCAAAGGGGAAAAACGCAGTGGCCAGAGTCCGCACACACAAATCTACCCCAGATGACCTCCTCCTGGAGGAAACAGGAAGAGCAAGAGCTGAGCTCCTCCGTCCTCTCCGCAGTGATTTCTTGCATCCAAAGCTCCAACCATGCCGAGTGAATAGAAGAGAGAAATCATAGAAAACTGAAAAGCACCCACACAACAAAGAAAACCACCTTCAAAACAGAGAGAGCTGACGTTTGCAGATAGAAAAAAAAAAAAGAAACTCTATATCCAGCAAGTCATAAACATCTAAAATATCTAAAAAGATCATAAAATTCTGGAGCAGAAGAAAAAATAATTTTTAAAATGGCAGATGAACTTAATAGACTACTTTCAATGCAGACATAGACATAGTCAAAAGGGATATGAAAAGGTTGTCAGCATCCATGATCGTGGAGTAAGACAAATCAAAATCAAGCCTGACATCTGTGAGAACATTTGCAAATGGAAGAAAGCCTGTGGACACAGAGAAACCCTCTGGAAACTGGGAGAAGAGCGTTCCTAAGAAATGTTATCTGTACTAATCAAAATAGAACCAGAAGACAATGTGATTAATTTTCCTGTCATGTGGTTATCTTTATCTTAAGCTATCATTTTTAATCCAAGCAGAAAAAGTGCTACACCAGAACCCTGAAGAAAGGCAAGACTATTTAATGATTGTTTCATGCATATGAAAATGATGACCAGTAGAGTGGACAGCCCTGGTCTTGCTAACACACTTTGCAGGCAACATCTTGGTTTTAACAGAAAAATAATACATTTTTAAAAGTAAGATCAATGAAGCCTTCCACTTTACTGTCAAAAAGTATTTCCATTATGTGGAATTTCTCTTCCACCTAAGAAAAAGGTGAGACTGAACAGAAAAGTTCGTCTGTGTGTAGAAACATCTTCGAGTTGGCTGTGACTGTGAGGATTTAGGTTAAGCACACTTTAGTGTTTCTGTAGAGAACCTAAGAGTTCTGCCTATTAACCTAACCCAACTTTTATTTAATTTCTGATTCTCTGAATACATTGATATTTAAAAATAGTTATCAATATTATGCTGATTTAAAATTTTTGTATACAATAAATTATATAGATTTCTTTTTTTAAAAAAAAGTATCAGAATTCTATAAAGAAAACAAACTTGCTTGAAAACAAGCTTTGTTGCAGGAAGAAGTTATGATTTTGAAACTTTTAACATTCCCTGGAGTGGAATCAACTTTTCATATCTGATTTTGTCACACCAACCAACAGTTCTATTATTTCCTCCCTAGGAGTGGAATGAGGTGAAGGTAACAGGAACAGAGACACACGGAGGTGCTGACGGGGGCATCTTCATAGAGCCCATGATCTCACAGAGTGTACTAAACATTA